ATACGCTTCAGTGCAATGTATTCCTGCTGGAATACCGCGGATACGGGATGTCTACAGGTACACCGGATGAAGCCGGCCTTAAGATCGATGCTCAAACCGGCCTTGATTACCTCCGACAGCGCCCAGAGACAAGGGATACCGACATCATTGTCTACGGACAAAGTTTAGGTGGTGCCGTGGCTATCAACTTAGTTGCCAGCAACGAGGAGCAAGGTGATATCGGAGGACTGATACTGGAGAACACTTTCCTGAGCATACGCAAGTTGATCCCAAAGTATGTTTTCGAACCAGCAAGATTTTCGGGCGAGTAATACTAACCCAAACAGTGTCTTTCCCCCGGCACGGTATTTGGCACGTTTCTGCCACCAATATTGGACCAGTGAAGATGTGCTGCCTAAGATCACCAAAACTCCAGTTCTTTTCCTAAGTGGACTGAAGGACGAGCTCGTTCCGTAAGTATCTCTATTTCTGACGTCACGTTTTCATGGCTAACCTCCCTTAGTCCGTCGAATATGACCCAATTATTCGCCGTTTGCCAGTCCGAATGTAAGATCTGGCGCACACTCCCGAACGGCGGTCACAATGACTCTGTTGCTGAGCCAGGCTACTTCGAGCACATTCTTTCCTTCGTTACAGAAGAAGTGCTACCTAATAAATAGTACCCAAACTGACGTGACTTTTGCTTGGGTTTTTCGAATTCCCTCTGGCAAACCCTTTAGCCAAGGCCTCTGCCATCTTTTCTTTTCCGCCAAGAAGTGCAAATACTTCAAGCTTTGCGTCAATGCTTGGCTATTGAGACCATTTTCGACGGCCAATTTAGACGTCTGGTTTCGGCCCCTACAACACGAGAATCACTTGACAGGATCTGTTGATTATGACCATGATACCCCTGCCCCACAACCAAGACACGAATTTCAGTTTGCATCCTTCAAATGATCACGGCCTGCCTCTTATGGCCCATACATGGCCCTGGGTGACTTCCCTTATTGACACCCGAACCCTCGGGATGAAGGGCCATAACTCCCATTTGATTGAGAATGGCTCTTTTCTTCTTTCTATCTCTTCTTGTCCGATTTACTTTCATTCTTTTCTACTTCCTGTTTCCTCCTTGCTGACTATTATCATACTCGCGGTGTTTGCAGTATTGGTTCAACATCGAGCGCCGGGGGTGTTTCTTTTCTCTGCTTATTCTTCTTCGGACCTTTCTTTCGTCTTGCTTATCAGCTCCGGCAAACTTCCTTTTGTGCAAATACTAAAGGGAGAGAACCCTTTGAATTCGGTACGAATGTAATAATTTGATTCATGAAACTTTCGCTGTGCAATCTTAGGATACCTATCGACTCCAGGTTCTACGTTGACATTCCGCAAAACTCTCCGGCTTCTGAGAGAGAGTGTGGTGGAAAACCCGGAATCTAAAGGACGAGGTAACTAAAAAAGAAGACCATCATTCCTTTGGTGACTGCACACTCAATGACTTATCAGCACTAGGGCGCCCACCGTGCAAATACATTCTCGCGGCCCTACATTTGCCTTGCATTGCGTGGCAGTGGAAAGAAACCTGTTCTCGGCCCTGGGCCGTCGAGAAGTACCAATTGCTTGTCGGGGTGGCTTCGGTGCGCGAATTGTCAGAAGAGGGGCATAGTAAGCAGCAGGCACCCTGCGACTTATATGCTGATCTCAATAAATCAGCCCTTGCTGGACTCTTTCTGGGTATTTTCCAAAGTTCTTCTGCTATCCATCACACGATTCCCAGTACAAAACGGACACTTCGAGTCACCAACCAACCACTTCGACCACAGCATGCAGCATGGTCGAATGGTATTGACCAACCCTACAACAGCTCTGCGCACCAACTGTGGAACTATTTCTACAATACACGGACCCGCAATCCGAAGATGAAGTCGAAAGAAGCATGGCAGATGTGAGCAATACACTCTTGGAAAATCCCAGAGTGAACCGTCATGCTTTCTAGCAAAGACAAGGCTATGTCGAACTTCCCGCAGCCATCTATACCCCTGTACCGGACTATTCCGCTTCTTGAACTTCAGCATAAGCCTCTCCCCGATCTACGCGCAGGTACTAGACCGCATACGCGAGGGACAGCCCATGCTAGACCTAGGCTGCTGTTTCAGGCAAGACCTACGCAAGATAGCATTTGATGCGGAGTTATCTTTAGCCACAAGCCTGATCGGGGCGGACATCGAAGGTGATCTCATCGAATTGGGTACGAACTGTTCCGAGAAAGCATTCATTTGGGGCATCTTCGATGATACCTTCTTGGCTGATCAACGTGGGCCTGTTGATGTGATTTACTTGGAGAATCTTGTGCACCCGTTTGGCTTCGAGGAGCAGAGGGCTATTTTTGCTCGGCTTGGGAAGCTTCTTACTCTTAGGGGTGGTTCCATAGTTTTTGGGCGTAATAATAGTGCAGAGCAGGCACAGGCGCATTTTTTATGGAGAGTCTTGGATGGAATATGTACCGGCATAGTGATCAGACGATCAAGGATCTTTGGAGCACTGCGGATATTGGGTTGTGGGAGGTGCATAGTCCATTGTCGGGGTATGAGACTGCAGCGAGTTTGGGTGAGAGGGCTGGGGATTGGCAGGGCGATGATCCTAAACAGAGGTCATTCTAGTTTGTTAGGACTGATGGTTGAATGTATTAGGAGAGAGATAATTGCCGGCGAGTACATTCTTCTCATCTGAGACAAGTTGAAGTAGAGTAAGTTTCCACATGCTGTAACATGATATATATCACTACCTATATCTGCTGATTCGATTTTTGTTTGAACGAATCTATAAATAAGGGCTAATTCACATATAAAAGTCCACAAGCACGTTAGTCTCACTCACGTATATATCAGAGAACACATATTGGAAATCAATTCATTCTTTTTCATTGTTTGACATCTGTTTCATGATTGATCAACGCCCAGTTCTTTGGATACGCCCGAGTCTATTATTGAAATCACAAGAGTCCAAACCTCAAAGATCTATAAAAGCACAAGACAATATGGAATGGGGAGATAGATATAATACAAGCCACAAGGTTTATTCCAAGAGAAACAAACTACTGAAGTCTCTCAGCCTCGTCCACCAGTTCCTCAACCTTGAAGTTCTCAACATCACCCCGGGTGAACATGCGAACAAGCTCACTCTTCCGACCAGCAGCCTGTCCCTCAAAGTCATAGAAGCGCTGCACACAGCTAACAAGCCAAGTTGCCTCCATGGCCGAAACGCCACCATCGGGAATAATCTGGCCATGCATAAGAACCAGACCCTTGTCATCCGCCAGATCAAGGTGGTGAGTAATCGTAGTGTGAGGCTGGGCGAACGCGCCGTGCATCTTATATACACCCAGATTCGTGAAGATCACAGTGGAGGTGTGGTTATTAGAAGGCGACAGAGTTGACCCCTCAGCAGGCGGGTGGAAGGCCCATTGGAGGAAATGAATATCGGCAACGGTGCCAGCTCCCTCAGGCGCTTGCTCTGCCTCCTCAGCGGTCTGCGGGCGCGGGAGGGGCAGGATGAACTGCGGGTTCTCGCGTGCGGCCTGCATAATGCGCTTGTATGTATCAAACGGGATCGCCGCAGTGATGGCGTGTGAGTTCTCTGCGAAGCGGAGGCGCCAGAGCGCTTCGATCTCCTTGGCTGGGAGCTCGCGGATCTTCTCGACGTCCAGGTAGGAGCTGAGAGGCTTGACGGGGCTGGACTCGCCGGAGACGGTGCGTGCGGCTTTAGCGGTGCGCGATTCCTGTGGGGGAGGAGGCGCCTGGAATGCTGGGGGCGTGCCTGGGACGGCGGTGGCGGATGTAGGAGTTCCGGGTTCTGGGGTAGCTGCGGTGGATGCTTTGCGGCGGAGGTCTTGGATCTTTTGGGAGTAGGCTTCCTTCAAGGACTCAACTGACTCATGTCCCTCTCTGGATAAAATAGTCAGTATAAAAGTAGGAATAATTGTTGAGGAAAATCCGCTCACTCCTTGGCCTTCTGGTCCAGTTTGGCCCGATATTTGTCCAATACATAGTTGGGATCGTGGTGCGAGGCGAGGAATCGGACATCATGGACCTGCGCCCACCGGCGCTGTTGATGACGCAGCAGGCGGGAGTTGCCACGAATCACCGATTGGAATCCCTGCAGTCGGAATGATGGCATTTTGAGTCTGAAGAGTAAATAGAATGAATCGCCGAATCTCCAGATAAGAGAAATGCCGGCCGGCTATCAGATGACATAATCACTGACATAAGAAATATAATTGGTGCCATATAATTAAGGCATAAACAGAGGAAAGTCAGGCAACAATATTTCCTAATTAGGGAATGTGGAGATCCCTTATATTTCACTTAAGGATAGACCTTCCATGAATCCTTCACTGGTAGACCAGCCGTTAGCTGCTATGCTTTCTGCAAGCCTAGGGTGGGGTGAGCAGAATTGCCATAAAGACACGCCTAACTTTCTACTACATATATGATCAATGTATTAAATCTTCACGTCGAGGCTAAAGCTACACATTTTGATCTAGGAATAGTAGTAATGAGGCTACCTTGTCAATTGTTTGCTTTCAAGCAAAGTTAGCTTGACTTAAAATGGAGACTCAAACAGAAACAAAAACACCATCAACATATCACAGCACATCTATCCCTCGATTGGCTCCAGTATGTCATCACTGTTTCTCCATGGTGTGGCTCAGCCGTTGCCTCCATGTGTGATTCTTGGAAAAACAAGTTGGTCACATTTAATAGGCATCTCAAGTTCCAGCTTCATCATTTGGCAAAAGTCTTCTCTAATATATCACGATAGACCCACTCATTCCCATTAGTCAGCGCTTCAACGCCCAACCATGGTTACCATGTGGAATGGCACCTTGAACTATAACCTTAAAGGGACCGTCCTTTAAATCCAGCTCCTCAAAAGCAACCCCCTCATCTCCCAATATTCCCCATCTTTCCCACATCGCCATCTCCCCCATCTCAGGAAAAGAAAGCAGGAAAAACGTAACAAAAATGCCAATCCATGAAAAAGAATTCTCCACCCCACCACCCCATCCACCAGTGGGTACACCCCAGGACTCCCCATCCGCACTGCCATGGTACTCCATCGCGCCGGGAGTATGGGAATTCTTTCTAAGTGGTGACGGAGAACACGAAGCCGTACTGCAGTGGTGGGAGCCAAATACTATCTCCGTGCAGAGAGAACCAATAACACATATCGAAGAGGTCTGCACCCTCCGCGGTGGATTGGAAGACCTTTCGCTCGGACAATCGTGGGGTATTGGTGCCTACGCCTACCGGAGACCTGGGATGGAGCATGGACCGTATCGGGCGACGAAAGATGGATGCCTGCAGTTTGTTAAGGTCATGCCGGCGAAGAAGTAGGGATTGGAGTCTTGAGTTTCGAGTGTGTAGTTGGGATCTGTGGAGATTAATGGCTACGGCTTTGGTTACTTGGGAACTGCGTATTGATAATTTGGCTTTTTTGGGGAGTTGGTCGGTTTTCGATTGTTTTCAAGTTTTTTTTTAGCTAGTTCTTTTTTCTTCTTTCTGTTTGCTTACAGGCTATGCCAAAACGTGATGCATGATGCGTGCGATGCTTTCGACATGCGATATCGTATCGTGTATGGGCAAACTCCAAACTCCGAATTAATGCAAGTGGCTTCGCAAAGAATGAGACAACGCTTTTGAAACATCTTTTATTTTATTTCTCAGGTCAATCCTGTCCAAAGGTTTAGACCGGCACATCGTCTTTAACAGATGCTTCAGCCTGAATCGCTTTGGCCTGAGTGGGGCGATCCTCCACAGGAGCCTCGATCTTAGGAGCAAGTTCAGGCTCTCCCTCAGGGTCCTCACGGACAGCCATTTCCTGGTCCGTGCCTTGTTCCCTCGCTTCCTCTTTCTCCTTCTTCTCCTCCGCCTCTTCCCAATTATCGACAACCTCAGGCGCAGGGGTCTTCGCACGCAAAGACTTCACCGCCCCAAGACCAGATCTCAGAACCAAGCGCTCCTTCTTCGCCCCATCACCATCAAGAGCAGCATATATAGACTTGCTCACCCACGAGTTCTGAACAGGAGTTCCAGTCCGCGAACCAGCCGCGCTACCACCCCTACTCTTTGAAGCAACCTGAGCCCATCCGCCGTCTCCAGCACTAGCCTGTGCTTTGGCGGCCTCACGGGTCGCCTTAGCCTCGAGGGCGGCAACACGACGCGCTTCTTGTTCTTTGCTGCGCTCGCGTTCGCGGAGCTTGACGCACTCGCGCACGCTCATGCCGCCGATGCCGATGGTCGAGCCGGTACCCATGCCAAAGAGGGGAGGCGTCCAGGCGATCGGTTTCAAGACGAAAACGTGGCGGTGGGGTTCTGGGTCGTGGCTTTCTGTCACGAAGCCCCAGTCTGCGGCGAGGGAGTGCGCGAATGCGCGGAGAGTGGATTTTGCCGGTTGGAAGCGGAATGAGCGGGTCGATTTTTCTGCTGCTGCTAGGGAATGGAGATTGGATTCGTAGGTTTGGAGGGTTGATAGAGGTACCGAGGATGCGAGCTGGACGTATTGGTTCAGAGTCTCTTCTGAGTAGGGAAGGTTCTCGGCTGTGATGGTTTGAAGTGTGGTCGTCGGGTTGATGTCGATGCCGAGAGCACCCGCCAGAGAGCGGTTCCGCTCCAGACGCGCGCATTCGTCGTCGCAGGTCAACGGGGTCAACTCTGGCTGGCGCTGGGGCGACTGCACCTGGCCCTTGGAGGTCACTGCCTTGGCGGCGTTGCAGCGTCTTTCTTGTCGAAGTCGTCCACAGCCACATGTCACTGCGATCTTGGACGAACATGGTGTCTTCTCGGGACAAGCGTACGGTGCGTGGCATTGCTCTGTGCAAGGATGGCCGCACATCGTCTTGTTCTTTCCACAGGGCTGGCTGCAAGGTTTAGTTGCGTCTTCGCAATCCTCCGGGCGATGGCAGTCCTTCCGGCAGAAATGAGAGCCACACTTGAGCAGCTGCCCACATACTTGACCGCAGCGCGCATCAGTCAGCCAGCAGGGCACGTTTTTCAGCACCCGCTTTCCGCAGAGACACGCCTTCTCGGTCAAGAATGGACACTTGGGACAGTTCTCCTCGTCTGTGTGGCAGGTATGTGCGGCTTGAGGGTGGCCGCATCGCTTTGGACGCTCACAGGGGAAGTTGCAAGCGGGTGGCTTCGCACCACACGGCTGTGGTGGATACAGAACAGATCTTCCGCAATTACACGGAATCTCTTCAAACACTGCCTCCCTGCAGGTATTGCAAGCACCCTTGTGGCAAAGCTCCGGGCATGTGTGCCTTCCGCATTTCAGCAACCGACCACATACGCGAGTGCAGATATGCTCCGCCTCGATATCCTCATCAGCAGGGCGGAGATGGGGCCTGAGTTTACGCCGTGCAGCCTGACGCTCGTTGGCCCTTTGCTCCCCCGGACAACACCTTTCGGTGCATGTGTGTCGACCACAGTGCAGAGTTGCCTTGCACATGCGTGGGCACTGGGGAGGCTCATTCTGGCCTTGATGACAGATCGTCAGGTTATCAGTACGACCACAGTTGCACTTGATGTGAACATTGCGCAAGCAAGCCCCACAGGATCCTACATGACACAGCTTCTCGCAAGCATGACCACATGGGAGTGTCTTCCCACAAGGTTTCTGGCAATTCAAAATAGGATCTTCGCAGGAGGTACGAGGTGTATATCCCGGGACCTCAGATAATGGTGTCTTGCCACAGGCGCAGTCGACAATGACATCTGGCGACTGCGGACAGTGTGCAGGATGAGGATCTTGCGGGTGGCAGTTCTTCTGACATGAGTGTATGCCACAGTCAAATGGACGGTTACAAGTCTCTCCACAGCCAAAGCAGCCGTTCCACTCGTCTTCTGAGCCATCGCCGCGGACGATTCGACTGTCCTCCTCATCGTCCTTTGACTTACACAGCATCTCCGTCTGCAGTTTTCCACAATAGCAACGGGCGTCAATGCTAACCTCGCAGCCACCACACAATCCCTCGTGACAGGGAAGCGGACATGTATGTTCTCCACATGGCAGCAACTCACCACAGATTTCGCCACAGCTCCATCCATTTTCATAATCAGTATCCTGACAACGCTTCTGGGACGAGTTAAGGCCACAGAAACAATCTTGCGTCGGACCCATAGCAGTACAAGGCGTACACGGACCAGCATGACAAGTCGCATCACAAGGATGGGGACAACCCTTGCGAGGCCGTGAACAAGTCTGACCACACGAGTGCGGAGGCAAACCGGGAAGAGGTCTAGGATCGACCTCTTTCTCACACCAGCAAGAGTAGCTCGAGGGGAAGTCTTGTTGAGAAAGGTTACAACCCGGACAACGCCAAGCGCGAGGAGAGAGGTCTTCCTGGGCGTTTTCTTGAGCAGAAGCTCTCTGTGCAGCTGCACCCTCATTCGTGGACCATTTCTTGACACAACTCAGATGGAAAACAGTCCAGCACAGTTCGCAAGACCAGACCCGGGACCTGCGACCTAGCTCGCTGCAGCAGATAGGGCATTCGTATAGGTTATGCGAGATGTCTTCGTGGATGCGGGTAGCCAGGTCGTCGGCTGTGGACTTCGTCGTGACTTTAGGTTGTGGCGGGGGCGCCTTAGGCTGTCTGGCTTTCCCTTTCCCTTTCGAAGATGGTGTTGATTCGGAAGGTTGTCCTTTTGGGGATGGCGGCATGCCCGGTACGAACTCTGGCACGTCCGCTCTCAGTGCGTGGTCATGTAAATGCCCCGCACCATTCAATAGAGGGCCAATTTCGGCCTGGTCTGGTCTTGTTAACTGAGTTTCGAAACCACGCGCTCTCATCCCACGGGTTCGTGTCTCTGTCCGTGTCTCTTGGCTTTCAGGTCCTCCATTCTGACGAGGTCCGTTGTTTCTTTGTCTCCGGCCTCTTCCCTCTCTGTTTCCACCTCTCCGCGAACTGGACGGTCCATCCTGTTGACTGGCCTGGGATGTTGTATTCGGCTGTGGTTGAGACTGTGTAGGCTGTGCTTGTGGCGCAAATTGATTTTGGTGCTCACTCGCAGGCGCTTGTTGCTGACCATCACGCTTCGCAGAACCCCGCCCTCTGCGTCTAGATGGCCTGGAAGAACGTGGGGGTCGTGGCCCGGCTGGTATTGAAGTCTCTGCCTGTAGCGTTGCCATGGCTGAAAATGCGACGGATGTCTGACTGGAGACTCCTGGCGTACTCATATGCTTCCGGTGGATTTTCTCACTTGCGCTTGGCTTGAAGAGAGTAATTTGTGATCGACTGAGTGTCTTCGTCTAATGCAGGCTGAAAAGGTGCGACAAAGAAAAATGAGCGGAAGCTAGACAGTAAATAAAGCAACGAGGAATAAAATCAAAGGCAAGAGCCCGCTTATAGAACGAAGAGAGTGGCGCAACGAATTATCTAGAAGGCGATAAAAGCTCTCATGGCAGAATTGGGCGGTGCATAAGGCGGTGACGTAGTGGCAAGCGGCTCCCGAGGCTGGGCTGGGCAGGTGTGAGTCAGGAATTACATAACATGACTCATTGTGCCTAGGCAGGGGTAATGTGGGTCGGCGATCAATGAATTCGAGTCATGCTTCGTATCATTAAGAGATAGAATTGAATTCATGGGGTGCGATTGGTGCGTGCAATCGCAGAGTGATGGGGTCCATGGGTGTTTGATTCCACTTCGTGCCAAGACATTGAACAAAGACCCAGTGCAGGAGGCTTATATTAAAACTTGCAGCATATCAAAGGAATGTGCTCGATCTTCGATGGAACGAGACAATTCCTTTCCATGCTTGCTACAAAGGGAGGATGCCAGACAAGCAGTCAAGGCTCATTATTACTGCAATTTAGTCCCAATCCTGAATTAAATATAGAGGAAAATGCAATATCGAAGCCGGCGCATCAAAAGAAACATGGCGCTATGCAGAAAAACCAGCCCATTCACCTCGTAACAAAGAACCAAGCCACTCATTCCCATCCTATCATTTGATTGAAATCATACACGCCGGATCCAGGCTCTAAATGAACACAACAATCTCACCACGATCATTACGCCTCAGCCTCAACGCGCGGAAAAGATCCTTCTCATCATCGACCCTGCGCTCCCGGTCTGCCCGGCTGCGCCCACTGTCACGACCGCGATCAGCATCATACTCATCCGAGAGATCACGGTGGAAGCGCTTAAGCGCCTTGTTAATGGAGCAGCCACGCTCGCTATCCTTCGCGACCAGCGAGAGGAAGTGATAAGCCAGCTCGCGCTGCAAATACTCCCCCGTGCGCGCCGGCGGCCGCGACTGCTTGTAGACAGTAACCTGGTGGCCGTGGGAGGATTCGACGGAGCCGCGGCGCTCATCGATTTGCTTAAGACGAC